ACAGTGAAATGAGTGGACGTAATGTATTAATTACCCTATTATTTATCATCCACATATTTTGTAAAATTCAACAACTTGTCAACTTATAATCATTTATAATCACTCCCAAACATGCCACCTTGTCGTATCCATGAAATTTTTTTGATAAAATTAGAAACAAATTCGTTATGTTGAAGTCCCCACTATGAGTGATGGGGTTTTGGCAAAGAACAAAATGGTCCTGGTCGGTGGTCCAAGTTACCCTTTTGCCAAGTAAAACAAGCGATTGGATTCAATTCATACATGCAAACTTTGTATCATAGTTGAGAACATGTCGAAACATTGTGTCTTCAAAGAGTGCATACGTACAATAACTACACCCTACTTTAGAACAACATGTTGGTGCAGCTTCGAAGGGTACATACAATTGAAAACAACTAAGTTTGTATTTGGATCGTTGCGTATTTAAATTGGAATACCATCCATTAGTACGTGAAACATGTGTGGCCGATTGTCTTTTCTTCTTGAAATTCCGTCCAACCTTGAAATAGATTGAAGGCCGGAGTTTAGATGAATTATTTCTTCAAGGCAGAGAAGATTATTTCATCATTGTCGAGTTTCTGAATATATATTTATTTTTTACCATAAGACATTCTAACTCGTATCGACATAATATATAATTCATGGAGATATTAGCATGTTGAATTTATATAACGAATTTTGTAATTTCTAATTTATTCAATAGTTATTCAAGTCAATATTTTTAATTAAGTGAATCATTTTCGATTTCGAAGTACATTATTCTACTCGAGATAATTTGAGACATAAATGTTATTTTTAATTAAGTGAATTTTTTTTTTTTTGGCATGCATATAATTTTCTATATCTCATTTTTAAATGTGGACATAATATTTTACATAAATCGTACTTTTAAAAAATTTTAAAATTATAACTTGCACTCTATGTTAATTAAAATTTAAATTCTATCACAATGCATGTATTTTTTTTTTTAAATAATAAAAAAAATTAATAATCCGAAATGAACTCACTAGAAAAATGGAATTTCTCACTTAAATTCCATGAGCAATACGTCAAGGTCAAATTAATGTGACTTCAAAAAATAAAAAAAAAATATCACGAGCAGTACGTCAAGGTCAGGATTCGTATATGTAACTGTTGACCCCAAAAAATGTTGTCAACAGATGCCGGGCCCACTCGTACACACGTAAGCTTAATCCAACACGCTAATGCCGATCGACGGTCATGAGGACTCCAGAGAATGAGCGTGGGAGTAGCAAAAAGGCACGAGACGTCTCCGTTCAGGTCTCCGGCATAAAAGAAATGCGATTGTATAAGTAACCAATCGA